CCAACATTTTGTCACACAGTTCTTTGGTGGCATCAAGGCAAGATCTGAAAAAATATGCAGGTTCACTTATGAAAAAAAGAACACCCTTTTAGACAAAAACAAATAATGTTAACACTGTTATCAGAAATTATACTTCCTACTATGAGTTGACATCTAGAGCAAACAACTAGCAAGTACCAGCATTGGCAGCATTACGCAATAACCTGAACATGTTTGGGACTAGGGAGTATCATTCCACCCCTTGCGAGTATGGTTAGGTGATATGACAAAACACACTGAGATAATATTAACTTAACTTTTTCAAGATTTAGCCATACTGTATATGCCATGCTATTAGGGGTGGGGGGAAACAATCCATACAGCATAGTATCGCAATATTTTCCATGGCTATATTGTATCGATACACGGAGGTCAAGTATTAATCTTTTAATATACAAATTGTACATGAGAATTTTAATTTTTAGTACCATAATAATAAAATCAATTGCTTTTTCAATCCATGAGAAAAAGAGTTTTCCTTTGGGGAGTTCAATTTGAAGTTGGAAAGGTAATAAATTGCAATATATCGCAATATGTTTAAAATCGCAATAATATTGTATTGTGACATAAGCATCGTGATAATATCGTATCGTGGGGCCTCTGGTGATTCCCACCCCTACATGCTATACAGTATCCCATTCATTTCTGTGGGTGCATGGAGCCCACTGTAGACAATGTTGCCAACATATGAGAAGAATCTACAAGTGGTCTTAACAGCTGTTATGTCAATACTGAATTTAAATGTTTTTTTAAAAATCCTTGTGTTGTCCTTTATTTGTCAAGTATTTCTTTCTCCGTATTAGCCAAAAACAGACACTCCCGTTCTTTTATTTCACGTTAACTTTGCAAGAAAAAGTGGAGCTAAACCTCTCACACTACATCACTGTTTGAGATACTACTACCCAGCTGTGGTTGAGCTATTGACCTGCAGATATTCAGATAACTGCAAGACAATATAACATAAACACACTGTCTATACCTCCAGTTTGTGCTATTAACAACATGACAAAAGATTATCCCTCAACAATTCCAGCCACATTATGTACTGTTAAGTGATAAATAATGCAATGGTCCTATTAGCTTTTCATGGACCAGGTATGTCTATGCATCGTGTGTCCTGATTGATTTCAATCTAGCCTATGCTAGGCAACAGTGCATAACACTGAGCCCCACAGGTAAAATGAAGTGAAACAGCATGCTTTCAGTTTCATGCTACAGCTGTAGCATCAGAACTGGCTTGCTGTTCAACTTACAAACGTAGTACCCAAGTCATCATATGTCTATGGCAGATGGCTTTCTATCCAGTGTACAGGCTAGTGATTCAAACAGATGGCTGTATGCAACTGGTATTATTTAAGTTATTATTTATTAATTCCTGCGAATGACCTCTCAATCATTTTGTAGCAGAGGTCAGCCACAGTGCAACTCTCAGCCAGTGCCTTAATCAATGGCATTACAGGAGCCATCCCATTACCGAACATCCATGCCTTTTGCATGGCCTCCATGACTTCGACAAACCCCGTGCTAACACAGGAAAAATAAGCACACTTCAGTTAAAATGGTGTGGGTCAGCCCATCCTGAGGAAAGTGCCACAGTGCAACGCAAAAATAAAATACAGATATTGTCACACTCATAATAAAAATAACATAACACTCACATTCAAAGCTCATCTTCTGTCTTTTTTCAAAGTTCACATCATTGCCACCTAGTTACTGGTGGTGATATAGTGAGCTAGTTCTGTCAGAAATGTTGAACCCACAGTTATCGTCATGTAGAGAGGCGCAACAGTGCAGCGATGCGGCCATTGCAAAGTGATAGACTGGGTAGTCACTCAAAACTAATAAGCTATGAGCAGAAATCGAGCAATAGAACACACAAAAATCCTCATTTAAAGACAATGTAACAAATCAGACCATGCATGTGATTTCGGCATTTAGTGAACTCCAATGCAGAATATCTGACACTGGAGTCAGACATAGTTGAGGTTAATTGGCTGCATTCTGGTTAATTTGCCATTTTGTTTTCATAAGCCATTCTCAGGTGAGAGCACAAGAATTAAGATCTGTCACAAATGCAATGTGTCTAATGGAATCTTTACACAAGCAGAAATCCGTTATTGAAGGCAAGTAAAGCCAAGAACTAACAGTTTCTTTGCCTCTGGGGAAAAATAATAAGCAAAAATGACATACTAATATAGTTGACCTAAGCCATATTTCCATAATGTTTCATACTGTGATGTGTGCTCTGTATTATTTGATAGTCTATCTTTTCTCTAGTGTCTGCAGCTAACAATGGATCTAACATTTCCCTCTCAATACACAAACTTTGGGTATTAGCATATCCAATCCCAGCCCTCTCTTTTTCAATTTAAAATCTCTTTTCTTCTATGTGGACATTAACATGGAGATGTAACATGATATTACTTCTGTTTTCCTCTCTCCACTCTTCATTAACTTAACTCAGCATACATTTCACATTATACTGCGTAAAGAAGCTCAACGTCTTACAAACATTGCCCTGATGACGGATCCAGATTATCAGATCGCTGTATCACAAAAAGAAAAACACTGTAAAGGTAGGCTTGGTATTAAGTGGTGTATTAACAGCAGACTAGGCATGCTTGGACTGATGAAATGATGAAGGAGAACGACGGGCATTTGGGCACACGCTGTGTCTACTTCCAGAGTCCATCCATCCAACAGCTTTAATAAGCTTTATCGAAATCAGACCTGCAAATCTCAAACATAGTATATTCCTTCCCATGCAGTGATATCAGCCATGTTAGCTACCTGACATATTTGACTGGTGTAGCTGTCAGACTGCAATACCCAACACATGAAGACACCTGAGGCTTTTAGGTAGCTGGACTGGTTAAGTGTCCATAGGACCTGTGTGTATTTATACCAGGATGTACAAGCGTAGAGCTGTAACAGGAAAGTCTGGCCACAGATGCGTACTATGGACCAAGATCTGGATTATGACAATGTCAAACAATACTGTTACTATAGTTATCAGCCCCAAATTTGACACATATTGCACAAATAACCTGTGTCTGCACTAAGAGTGACATGGAAATGTTTTTAAACATGCCGCACAATATGCACCACTGACACCAAACCAATTCCGCTGGGTACCTAAGAAAACAGACCTTTTTAAACGACAGGCTGGGCTGTTTCAAGAGGGCAGGTGCACATTCTTTATGGTAGTATTATGAAAAAAAGCATGTAAAACATATCAAAGCCTAAATAACACTTGCGTGTTAAACCATTGCACACACTGATAGGCTTGCTCTACTTTGAACATATTAACTATACAGTTTGATTCAAGTCTAATACACTGATTGTTGGCGATATTTTCCAGCATGTATGGTACACCAGTGGTTTTTGTTGCTTCTGTGCAGCTAATGCTAAATCAGTGGTTAGACATCCTAGGCATCCCACACCACCTAGCGAGAAACACCATCTTCTCTTCATCATCCACGGTTTAAGATATATTAAAAACAGAGGGGTTTTGCTGATTTATTAGCCCACCAGTGTGTACAGTGGGACTGTGCCCATTTAACACGTAGCTTTCTAGTCCGAGAGCACATGCAGAGCCAACCAGGGGCAGTGAAAACTGTAAACAAAGGACCCTGACACCACCTTGTTCTGCAAGAGGATCACATCTTTACAAATAGTCAAGACCCGTGAGAAAACTTAAGACACACTTTAGCAACACACAAATGATTCGGAGACATATCTTCATATCAAATTGGTTATATATCTATCGGTGTCACTCCGCCATGTCCCGCCATCTTGGACAGGCAGCCAGCCATTAACGTTACTTGTAACGTTTATCAACTCGTTCACACTGCCTCCAAACGAAAAACGACCAGAACACGTCCTGACGTACCTTCAATACAGCAATGCAATGTCACAAAAAACACAACAGAGTGTGGCCAAGACACTAGATCAATGCAAATGCTACGGGCACTAGCTAACCTTACCAAATAACGTAAACTGGTAAGCTGTATTTGGTGCACCCTGACGGCTACAACGTGAACGTTACTTCCACCAACGTTATCCGTTGACAGTTGTAGACCGATGAGGATACTTCTGCCTTTAAGGTTAGATGTGAGAGTCTAACGCTTGTAATAAAGCAATCTCACGACATAAAACTTTCCTCATTTAAGTCCAATGTTTCCAGTAATCAATATGCTACACAAAACAGTGACGACGTTGTGTTGTTGGTGGTACAACTGCAAGTACACAAGGATCCGCTGTATGGAATAACGTTAGCTATCCAGCTAACAGGGAAGGGCGGTTTCCTAACAAACATGAACATGTGTTAACGTTAACAAGCTAACTTAGTTAAATCAAGAGAGCCTTAGCTGGTTGGCTAACAGTTATGCTGGCTAGCGACGCGGCGTAGCCGCAGGTGCAGGGTCGATGTTCATCGGATGAGGGTAGCTAACTAGCAAGCTAGCTAATTGCCTGGCTAAAAGAGGGGCTGCGGTTAGCTGGCCTTGGTCTTCATAGCGAGTGGGCCACTTGCATTCAAACTGCCTTTCTACTTTGAGAGCAAAGTCACTGCCGTGCATGATAGTTGGGAGATTGGAGTAAGTCCCGTGTATCAGGGTGCTGCTTGGTTGTAAAATACATCCAGTTAGATTTGCTACCTTCATCAACAGGGCCTTCGTTCTGGCGCCATCTTCATGAAGCTTCTGAAATCCAAACAGTGAGCTGCAAGCAAGAACACAACATAGGCGGCTCAGAATCACTTGCAGAGCGGCTCAGAAACATTTTCGACATGCAAGGACAGAAAACAATGAAATTTCAAACTGTGCGTTTGTGTGAGTGCACGGGGTTACTATTCCGACCTGTCGATCCCGACCAAACTGTCCCTCTCCTGGGCTGTCAGTGTCGGAAAGTCCTCCTCTGTTTCACTCGCTTTTCCCGCCGCCATTTTCTTTCCCTCATCACCACCAGAAGAAGCCGAGCCGAGACTCCGAGCAGCAGCGCAGGCAGCAACGGCGAGAGACACACCGCACGATTGCATGGAAAATCGCGACGCGGAAACAAACGGTTTGCTCCGCCGAATCAAAAAAGAAAAACTGAAGAAAACAAAATGATCAAAAACTTTTTTTCCAGGATGAAAAGATGCGATTCGATATAGTAAATCCTTTCGGGGGGACAGAAGCGCTCTCCGGGTAGCTCCTCAAACGTCACATTTTTCATCACAAAGTGATATTGTGCAGCTATTTGAATGCGAATAACTGAATACAATATCCAAGATGTGAGTATTTCACAATAAAATGCGTTTCGGACGCGAAGATAAAGTTGTTATAATTGTGTCACCCAAGCGAACCCACGCGCCGTTCTAGCCACGCCCTCTCCCCCCTCTTCAGCCAATAGAAGCGTCCGCAGCCCACCATATGACTTCCTTGCTATATCATTCTTTTATCTCAAATATTCATATTCTCCCTGCAAACTACTCTATTTTTTATACCACGATTATTCTGGAAGCTTATTTAAAAATATTTATTACCAGAACGTGTCTGTCACACACATGTATTAAAGTGAAAGAGCTTTGTTTCCCTGACAAATGCAAACATATCTTGTATTCAGTAATATGTATTGACACTTTAGGTGTCAGTTGACGTTTTCGCTTACAGACTGGTTAAATTATAACTGCAATACATCATTCGTTAAGAGCTTTTAACACCATGTAACGTTTGTTTACATTTTCCAATTACCCATCATACTTGTACTATATCTAAATCATGCAAAAAACAAAGTATTTTAAGCATTTTAGTAAATAACGTTGCTAAATTTCTGAGCTTAATTAAACGAGATCAAAGCATTTTAATTGACGTGGCAAAAGCATCATAATGTGGGCGTGGTTTATTATTGTCAACATCCTGGTGACATAACTCGTTTCTCCAAAATGGCGACGGTGGATCACAGAGAAGGTTAGTGATTTTGTGTGTTAGAAATCCGGCGCTGTTGCCCTTATTAATTCAGGAATTTAGATCGTTTTCTACCAACGATAGTGAAATTTTGATGCGGTCTTGAACTCTGTGCTTTTAAGAGTCCGAAAAGGAAATCGGCAGCGTTATTGGATTGGTAGCCATTTGGCTCTAGCCAGCTAGCTAATAAGTTAGCCTCCCAAGTCATTTACATGAATAAAAAACAAGCCGCACTGAGAGTAGCTGAACTGCCCATACAGTGAGTGTATTAGGTTTGAAGGAAGACTTTTAACGTTACGTTCAAACAGTCAAATATAGGGAACTGTAAATAACTGTCAATTAAAACACGTTTTTAATGTAAATGCTTGTTTTTCTTTTTGCGTTCATTAGTGTTTAGAATAGAGACAAGGGGCTAGGTATAATTTAACGAATTTTTTTATAATATATAATATGGAGCGCAATATTTGTTAAAGGGGAAATGTGTATCAAAATACCACTTTAAATTAAATACTGTTGTGCTGCAGAGATGTTCTGGTCGATTATTGTAGAGACTTAATAAGACATCTTTGTTGGGGACAGACCCACAAAAATCGCACCATAATTAATTTTAATTGAATAATGATGTCAAAATGACATTCCTAGTATCACAAATCATACCACAATTGCATTATCACTCAAAAGCAATTAAATATTCAAAATGGCTCAGCTCTACTAGGTATAGTGTCATTTAGTGCACCCCTTATTCTTAAGGGCTCGTGGTAATATGTCTTGAGTATTTTAATGTTTAACTTTTATCTTATCATCCTTGTCTCTTAGCAGGTCAGGATGACCCAGAGAGTGAAGATGAGGTTTACGAGGTTGTGGACCTGACGGAATACGCCCGGAGGCACCAGTGGTGGAGCAGGGTGTTTGGGAACAACTCTGGCCCAATTGCTGAGAAGTATTCCGTGGCCACCCAGATCATGATGGGAGGGGTGACTGGATGGTAGGGCGTGAGGAGGATCTATCTGCTGCTAGGTCACATATGTAACAAAAGATACTAAAATACACTCCAAAATTTCTGTTGACACAAGAACATTACACCTACCTGACTGACTCAATTCAGTAATGATTGAGGAACTGTTAGTGGTAGAATAGATTTGTGGAAAGATCTGACAGGCAAGGGTGCCAATTCTGAAGCACAAACGCAGGACCATTTGTGTAATAAACCCCTCTTCGTCTCAACACATACAGGTGTGCTGGATATCTCTTTCAGAGAGTTGGGAAGATAGCTGCTACTGCTGTTGGAGGAGGGTTCCTTCTTTTACAGGTGGGAGTACCATAACGTTGTGTTTAACAAGTTTCAGTAATTAGATATTTACTACATCTACGTTGACAAGTGCCAGCTGTACAGCACGATGTCAAGCTGGTCTGTTCTCTACAGCAGAAACACTAGCATTGTGTGGCAGCTGGTTCTAGATGGATGCAGGTCTTCTGGATGCTAATTGGGTGATGTAAAATGTGCCTTAAACATTGGTTTTCACAAAGCCATGAATCTCTCTGCGCATACCAAGGTTTCATGTGTTGAACAAAGACAGATTTCTGCACCCAGAAAGAAAAAAGATATTCAATTATTAACTTTATTATTCACTCAGAGCCCCAGAGTTCACTTATTGTCAGCCTGAGATGATCATTTACAGTATGTTGGTTGATTCTGCAAGGTTTCATAAAGGTCAGGTAAACCACCTCCTGGACCAAATGTTCCCTCAATACCTATTTATATATTGTGAAGTTGGCAGGTGCATCATACCTTTTCCTTTTAAATCCAAAAAAGGATTTTACCTGCAGCGCTATTCACTGGTAATTACTCAAAGAAGGACACAACCTTTTTAAAAGTTGGATTTTAGCGACAGAATCAACATCATAAACTGTGAGACAGTGATGCAATATAACCCAGAAAGAAATCAGTTGATGAGACAAGACAAGGAGTCGGTAGCTCTGTAGAGTGCAACAAAAGCTTAATTATTTGTGCAAAGATATTATATATGTAAAGATATATTGTGCTTCAAAGTGGAAAGCAGGGACAAAAACAAATGCAGTGCAAAAAAACCCCTGTCATTAAATATTTCCAAATGATCTGCGCAGAATGAGTTCTGAATATATGAATCAATTTTCCCCACAGATTGCCAATCATAGTGGCTACGTGCAGGTGGACTGGAAGAAGGTGGAGAAGGACGTGAACAAAGCAAAGAAGCACCTGAAGAAGAAAGCAAACAAAGCAGCCCCTGAAATAAACACATTCATTGAGGAGGTAAAGGTACCTGTAACAAAGCTTGCTCTTCCTTTCACACTTTTGCTTGCTTCTAATTGACAGTTGCTAAAATGGAATCAAACATTTCTGAATAGTATTGCATACTTTCTGTATACTAGAAAAAAAAAATCCCCAAGGCCAACAACCTAAATGCAGTTAATTAGAACTTAAATGAATGTTTGTTTCTTTAATGTCCTGGTTTTGGGAGGTTTATTTCTTCATCTGCAAACCAGCAATGCCCTCTAGTGTACAGATAGCCATACTACACCAGCTGGCTGTGACACAGCAGGCTTAGGAGAGCTCTGGTAGATACATTTTTGAACCATTATAGATGTTTTATGGTGTATACATTCTCAGTAAATATACATCTATAGGTTAGGAGCTAATCCAGGCTGTGCTTACTCGCTGTTTTTTCAGTAACACTCCATTAGTTAACACCTGCTCACTGGTTAGTACACTATGGTGCTTTTAAACTCTTGCAGTGTTTCCCCTAGGATGGAGTTGTAGCAGCGGAGGTGTAGCAAAATTTTTGTCTGAATATAATGATGATGCACATTGGAACAGCTGGAAATTTAGTTTTATGTGAGCTTTATAGGAATGTTTTGGTGGTGGTTGTGGAAGTCATGGTTGTGGGGTTTGGGGGAACATTTTACGTTTTCCAGTGACAAATATGTAATTTTTCATCATCTTGGGCAATTATATTTACCATATTGCTGAACAAATAGTTGGAAAAGCTAGAGCAGATAATAAATAACGAACACTTAAAGATCAGTCTACTGGGGAGGAACTACAACCATTAGATTTGTGGAAAGGAATCTGGTTGGTTATGATGCTCTCCACAGTGATTTTACATTTATAGCACAGCATGTTTTGGGCACCACCCCCTAAAACCCTGCTAATAAGACCTCAGAATCATTATAGATACGACTGTTCATGTTTGCCTTTTGTGTCTTGTTTTTACAGCTTTTGACATTTATCTTTAGACATTAATATAAAAAAAATGGCAACACGAGAAACCACCTCCCTTCTGAGGTGCATTAAAATCCAAAAAGAAACGTCTCCTCATTAGCTTAAAAGGACTAGTTTGCATCACTAATTTGCTTTACTAACCTCAGCTCCTCCAGTCACCACCGTCCTTTCTTTTCCTAACAACCACTTTTTCAGACTCATCTGAAACCTGAAAAATAATTTAGGATGAATCAGTCTGTACAGGACAGAGCTGCAGGCTACACCAGTTAAGTTAAGTCACCAGTCTAAGTTTGTACCTGATGTTCTCAACATTGGACAGGTAGGCAGTAATAAAATACAGCTACCAGTTACTCTCTATAAATTGAGCTAATGTTAAATTACAGAGAGCCATAAAACGTAGCCTACTGTAATGTTATAGAAGCTTTCCTGCTCAGCTGCGCAGTCTGAAGGGGAGGGGAGATGCTAGTGCAAACCGGCTTCACTTTTCCAGCAGGTGGGAAACCAAACAGACTTTTCTTAGTCTTGAGAAGCTGACACGCTGTAACCTACACAGTACATTAACGGCCAGAATATTTTCCCCCGCTCGTGTTCACTGTCACTTTCTGCCGCTCGGACAATCAAATACTCGCTACACACCTCCCGATTCCTTACAGGAGTTACGCTGCTCTTATAACACCATCTGTCACGTAGATGTTTTGTATAGAACGAGGAGAGGAAGATAGCCAAGCATTGAGTGTTGCTGTGCTCGCACAGTGTGCGAGTGAAAATATTTGTAGTGCATAGTTTAATAATCGTGGAGAATTTTAGTAGCAGCGGTCATGATTCAGCAGCGGCGCACCGCCGCTCTTGAATGCATATAGGGGGAAACACTGTCTTGTCCACTCATTCTCCGTCTCTTCTCCCCCTACGCAGGCCACAGACTTTATAAAAAGGAACATCGTCTTGTCTAGCGGCTTCGTCGGTGGCTTCTTTCTGGGTTTGGCCTCGTAAAGCCACCACTCAAGCTGCAGTCTCCACTTACTATGAATCACACCGCTGCACTCTCCTCTTCATTGTTTACCTCTCGGCCTCATGTGTGCATTGATTCACCTCTTAACCTACTGAACTGAAGGGGGGGGGGGGGGGGGGATTACGTTGAACGTTAAAGCATGATCTGTTGTGACATTGTTCTACTCCCCCCTGTTTTAAAACAATCCTAGCTAATTATTTCCTTTCGGGAGGACTGATTCTGAAGTGTGTGTGCGTGCTTGGATTATACTGTGAACACTTTCTTCTGTGGGACCCATACTGGATCTTTACTAGACTGCTGAATATGTCAAGCTGCTACAAACTAGCAGAGTCCTCACTGCTTTTTTATCACTAATCTGAGTCTTGTCCATCCCCTCGTGGATTTGCCTGATGGATGCTGATCTCAGATTGTTATAAGTTGTCATGTGTGGGCGCTGTTGTAAATATATAGCCAACCCCCTATTCAGAGCAGTAAATACACACACAAGACAAAATATCATGTGAACAACATGGAAGGCAACAGAGTGGGAAGTTAACACCATCCCCCAGTCTAGTGCCAAGAAGTATTTTTTTAATGTAGCTGTGAAGTTTGGCAAGTTTATGTGCGAGTAAAGCGTGTATGCAAACATAATTCAGCGTTTAAAGTTTGCCACACTGGCTGGGGGTTTAAGCAAAGTTATTTTTCCACTCTGAACAGGAGTTATTGTTATACAACACATATCATGAGCATAAATCCCAACTAAATGTTGCATCTAAATTTTCTCTACTTAACACTGACAGGTTTTAAATATACATCCTTTATTCCCATAATCCTCAGCTCCACAATGCCCTTTAATGACAGGCTGAGCATCTGCTGTACCCTAATTACCACCGTCACAAGCTAGACACCAGTGCTGTCATTAAAGCACATAATGGCACAGCGATTGTGACTCCTACGCCCCTCGCTCTTGTCATTGTGCATTTAGTAGTGTCAGTGTAATAATAACACAACAGCGATGCAGCAGAGTTGTGTATCACGTTACCTAGAAAGGACATCTACTCCTAGAAGTCCACTTAAGTTGATCACATGTTGCTTATTTTTGCCTTTTTATACAAGTGCAATATGCAGAAATGTGTCAGATCTGTGTTTTTTGTAGTTTTCTTTTTTGCCATTTTGTAAGCTCATATTTCCTCATTGTTTTATTAATTTAAAAAAAATATTTAATGTTAGTTTGTTATCTGAGCTGTATGAATTTGTTTGGGTGTCTCTTTTAAAATAAAGTTGCCTGATTTTATTTTGAATAACTTTTTTTGGGGAGGGATGGGGAAACCTGTCAATTTATGTATGTCAAATTTAATGTTGCAAAGAGGGGGGAATTAATGTAATTGTGTAATTTTTCACTATTGATATTGTGTTGACTGAGCAATCAAATGTTAATGAAAACCCACATTACAGGGCAAAACCCAAAATAATCTTTTATGCTTGGCCAACACCACAAATGGACCTACAGATACACCAAAACCACCCACAGCTGCTTTTAAGGGGTTCACTGTTTTAAGTTTGTTTTGTTTTTTTGTTGAATTTCCCTCTATGCGCCAGTCAAACTGCATCCTTTTATTTACAACTCAAATGATTTTTGTGGTGATGGGGCAGTGGATAAGACGCATGCCTTTGGAGTGAGATCTGGGTTCGAATACACTGTGAAACACCATTGTGTCCCGAGCAAGACCCCTACTTGCTCCAGAGGTGTGCGTTGTAAGTTGCTTTGGATAAAAGCGTCAGCTAAATGAATATATGTATAAAAATAAACAGCTGTACAAGAATAAACACAGTATAGTATTTACAAAACATGTTTGCCACCACAGAAGACAAAGTGGAAAACATTGTGAACTAGGAACACTAGCATGATTTCCACAATACCCAGTCATAATTATGGCTGTAAAGATTTCCTGTGTTTAGATGCAGGAAAATGAAGAAAATATGAATATTGTCATAACTTTCCATTTAATGTTTGGAAATGAGGTTTTAAAAATGAAAAAAATCCAGAATACAAAACTTCTTTTCAAATGAATACGGATATTGCGTGTTACAGTTCCTGATGGCATAAAAATGTCTATTCTGGCACTCAGATGGGCATTTTGAGGAGGGCGCACTCTGTCAGTAGTGTCAAGGTGGTGATCATGTATCTGCTGTTGGAGATCTGAAAGGAGCAGAAACAAATATTAGTACAACAATTTGTTTTCCTGTGTGTGTTTCTGAACAATGAAGAGTCATGAAAAACTTTGTTGAGGCGTTTCCGTCAGATGATACCTTGATCCTGCCGTTGTACTTGGCTGAGCCCAGTGCTGTGGAAACCTGGTTCAGGCTTCCCGCTGACAGATCCAGCCTGTAGTGTCTGTAGAAGTGGCTCTTCAGCCCCTGCATGAACTCAATCACCTCCTCAAGATCAATACTTTTCTCCTCCTCCTCCACCACCTCCTTCCCGCCTCTACTCTCCTGTGGAACCTTTCTCACACTGCTCCACAGCACCCAGGCATCTTGAGGATTTACTGTGTAGGTGACCTTCAGTGGTGGCGCAACTGGAAGAGTCCAAATCATTTTGAGGTGCTGGATGCTGGACTCTGTGTGGCAGTTAGTCCATAATGCCACCAGCCACTGTAGGCTTGTTTGGCTGATTTCCAGTGGGCCAAAGCAGCAGTCGAAGGTCTGCTGGAACCAGGATTTGACCAAAGTAGTGAGACCCTCTGCCCCACTGCTGCCGAAGAGCGGCAGGCAGATGAAGTCCTTTGGAAGTGAGCGCAGGTATTCAGGGTTGCCGTTGATGCAGGTCAGCCAACCACTCCATACTGACCTCTGTGGTTCGTCCTGCCTGGCAAACAATGGCTTTGAATGGATCTGTGGTGGGAAAAAAGAAAAAAGTCTTCACTCATTTACAGGTGACACTTCAATGAAAGTACCTTCAGGATTTAAATATTTCAAATAGACTGTGCTTACCTGTATGATGACAGTTTCAGCATCATCATCCGCCTCGGTCATACCCGGCACCAGAGCGAAGGAGACTCTGAAGCTGCTCTGTGGTCCCTCCACTTCCACTGCTAAACCCTGCTGCCTTTCCGCAGCAATGAATGCTGATAGCCGCCTGGAGTAGCTCTTCAGCTGGGTGTGTCTGAATTGATGGAGAGGAGTAACGTAGGACAGCTGCCACTCTGTTTTCACCATCAAGGCCAGCTGCTCTGGATTCACCTTGTCCTTTGACAAAGAGAGGATAGAGAAGATGACCATTCTGTGTCTCTTCAGAAATTAAATACATGAAGAACAACGGCCTGGGTTGACTTACAGTGATATTGAGTGACTTTGGAGCCCTTCTGCTGGTGTTCAGCCTACGTGCCGTCAATGCTGGAGTTAAGCAGAGTCGTGAAGCAGTACCTAGGCAGCTGCGGTAGGACAGTCGGTAGCTCTTACTTTTGCTCTTCCTCTGAACTGCAACATTGTTGAGGGGAGTCCTTGTGACACTGTAAATTAAACACAGATGATCACATCAGCTCTTACTCTGGTGCCAATGGTTCTAGTTAGTAATAGAGGGGGTCATTGCATTGCTCTTTGTAAACCACATGTGGGTATTAAGAAGCAAAACTCCTGAAAATAGAACAGACGTTGTAGTGACCATACCCTCTCACTTTTACTTACATGATGAAATGACACCATCCGACAGGGGGTGAATATTTGATACTCAACAAATAGACTTTGGGTATTGGCTATAGATTAATTGGCCTCACTTGAATTAATGTTTATTTAGCAGCAGCAGCAAGCACACACAAACCAAAGTTCTGCTAAGGCTACTGCTTTCTTATGTTCGTTTCGCAATAACATAACTTAGAAAACCCACTGTCCTGGTACTGTACGTGCACTTCTTTCATTTGTAGAGAAAACATAACGTGTAATTAAAAACTAAAGCCGCACAGAAGTGAATGTAAAACAGCTTCAGTACGCATTTCTCCCATTCTTTTTATTTTGGAGGAAGGTCATTGTGAGAAGAGAAACAATTGTAAAATGTGATATTTCGATTTAGAGTAGGGCTCCCTTGGGTATGGGATATTTGCCGAATTGAAAAGTTGAAGTTACCAATTCAAACGACGTATTGTATATCACTGTACAGAATTGATAGATTTCATTAAAAGTAACGCTACATTAAATCACTCGACTACTGAATGTTATTTGGCGTGACCGTCTCTTCGTGCGTACGACAACTGAAAGTGTCGGGGCTAGAGGAACCGTAGTGCACGGTTGACAAAACGGTGCTATTTCTGTTGTCGCGAAGGCAAACATATTGTAGAAAAGTATTTTAGTACGAAATGAATAGTGTTTTACCTGGTATGATGCAGCTCCATGTCTGGCGTATTGACCGCAGCAGAATGAAACCGGAAACAAATTTGAAAATGGCGCTTTCCCAGCAGTCTGCGCGTTTAGAATCAGCCAATCGCATTACTCCAATAAGGGAGTGGTTTTTTTGTTCTATGATTTTTATTTATTTATTTTAACACCAATTATTATTTTCACAGTGAATTGAACATAAAATATAAACTAAATTCAATGGTGAACAGTAATTAAGTACATTTACTGTACTGTACTAAGTACAAATGTGACTATGAGGTAGGCCCACCTGTACTTGAGTATTTTCTTTTCATGCCACTTTCTACTTCTACTCCATTAACGTTACATCTCAGAGGGAGATAATGTACTTTTTTAGCCTACTTCACCACATTTAACTGGCAACTTTAGTTACTAGTTACTTTACAAGTTATGATTTTAGAGAACAGAGAGAGTTATTAATTGTTATTAATTATTTAATCTGCACAATCGCAGCCACAAAGAGGCAAAAATAAAAATAAGGCTTGGACTGGCAGCTACCCCGGTTGCAATGCGTTTAAAACTTGCCATTCATGCTTAAGCAGCAACATCCAACATCCAAGAGGGGAAGTGTTAGACCTAACTGAAACAATGGTGGTTTTTATATCCAAACCATTCAGCAGTCTCTTACATGTTTTAATAGTAATACCAATCTTTTAAGGTGTAGTGGTTATGGTTAAGTCAACACAGCAAGTGTGTGTATTTGTATCGATGTGTGTGCATGTTTCACTTGCGGCTTCACAAACGACCACCGTTCCCCTCCCTGTTACCATGGAAACTGTGCTCTTTCTGTTTTTTAAATCTATTTGTCTTTTCTTTCTCTGCCTTTTTAAAGCATATATTCTTATAATTCTTCCATATTGATTGTTTCTATTCTTCCATTTGTCCTCACATTTGTGTGAGCTAGTGTTTGTTTATTAAGCATGTACATATGTTTTGCAAGTGCCTGTGTATTGAATGGAGCACTGTTCAATAGCACATACACCGCCATACATTCAGTGTGGTGACCACATCAACAGCCAATTGGATTATCGGTAGCTGCTGGTGGGCTTCAACCAATGGAGGAAGCTTGCAGATGATGTGTGAGGAGGAGGGATGCGGCGCCTTGGAAACTGCAGAGGGTGCCACAGGAGAACAGCACACTCTAGTGGCATCAGATGTCTGCATGGATGAGTTCACCTTTCTGCTTTAGAGAACTTCCATTGCCCTGTGGTAGCCTACTTATTTACTTGCCTCCCAGTTCAAACTCTTCTTTTTGCTTCTTACTAATAATTTTGCTGTCTCTGATGGGCACTGGAGAAAGGCCTGGTTCTCAATATTCAACATTAATTTATTAAATTGGTAGTCTCTTTGATCCTGGGATATTAGGGTTTTCATTTACAGGACTTTTTAGTCAAATAAAATTAACATTGAATGGTTGCCCAACATTGAAATTATTTTTTTAAATAATTATTTACGTTTAAGTATTTGTATTTTAAATTGTGTTGTCATGTTGTTTTACCATGTGGATATAATGCACACGTCAGGATTGCACTCAATTTCATTGTGCAATGACAATAAAGGACTGCATTTCAATCTGACTACAATTCAATGTCTTTTATTGTTAAATACATTTTATAGTGTATGTTTGTAGTGGAAAAGTTGAATTCAACAACTTTATTAGATAATATTAAATGATAATTATATATTAGGTGAACTGTTCTGTGGGGTCTTGCTTACAGAAAATGTGACATAGCCTATATAAACATATTTTAGTTCATTATACCTATAATTCATGGCAAAGAGGGTAAAAATTAATCGAGTTAGCCCAGTGTTCTAATTAGAAAGTGATGTTATCCCCGTTTAAATTTTCTTCGTTCTAAAGGTCTCAGAATTTCACATTTATTTATTTTATCACATTGAAATGTCATTAGAGGATTTTCAAGATGGAGCAGTGGGAGGTATGTGATTCCTTTCATCACCTTTGGGGGGCATCGCCAACACACCTCAGGGCTTGCCTTCTCACACCTGAGAAAAATCCACCTGCGTCCCTGCACCATGGGGGAAACTCCTGCTGCACCTGCAGAAAGATTACATGAACGTCAATCGATTTAATCCTGCCATTATTACACACTAATCGCCTCCAACACGGTTCTCCAGGGCCTTTCGCCAAAGTGTTACCCGTTTGATAAGACACAATGCTTGAGATTTGCTAGATAATCAAATTCCAGGGGGTATTGAAGACCATTATATAATAATCACCTTTGTCAGTATCCCATTGTCAGCGTCAAATTACGGAAATAATAAAAGACACTAAGCTTCCCATTTGCTGAGGAACCTCCCTAAGGACCCATGGGGATCACTGTAAATTGCAAGGTTCCCTTTTTAATATTCTTTGTGGGGAAAATACATCAGTTTATTCGTATGGCAGACAGTCATTATGGAGGACACACGTTATTACTGTCAGACGAGACAATTTACAGAGGAAATATAAACTGCATGTTAAAAGGATGGAGATAAGACGGGGAAAGGCTGACGTAAGGTGATGGTTTTTGGATGGTTGACGCTTGCGCGGGATCCACTGGATGCAACCGTTGGAGGAGATTAGGAAACTGCGCCTAAATCGGGCCCCACCGCACGCCATCTTGGCTCGACCCACGCTAAAATAACGAAGCTGGGTCCCCGCTCTCACGGGCCATTTCGGCTCTGGACGGAACAGTTTCTTGGACTTTAGAGGGAGGAGCATTGCATTTCTGGAAGTCGGAGAAACAGCCAGTCGAAGCCAGCCAGCATCTGAGCCAGCGTAGGAACTGGAGCAACGGTGGACGAAGGGTCGCCCGTGTGTTGGAATATGATATAATTTAAATATCCACAAGCACAGACGGTGAATGCAACAGAGTTAGTCGTCGACATGCAGGTGAATGTCTTCCATATTGGCTCGGGAAGCTGAAGCATATTGCAGCCTGGTCACATTACGTTTTCCGTGGGATAAGCCATCTGTGATACACTGGGTGTGCACAGCGCAATAACGGCGAGTGCCAACCGGTCATTCCATCGACAGCTAACTCATATTAACTCAGTTAGCCGACCATTTTCGAGAGCCCCGTTAGCTTGCGGTGACGGGAGCATCTTTGTCGGTGCGGGAAGCGTCCGTGGATGCTGCTGAGGGAGTCCTGTGTCTGGCAGTACCCAACAGTAAGATTCAAACTCGAGGCATGCAAAGAGGGGTGTTTTTCTGCAAACGAGCGAGGAAATCTCCGCGCCCCGGGGTCTGGTCTGTGGTTACTATTTAGCTAGCTCGGTGGCTAGCCAGCCTACCGGGAGAGTAGCTGAAGTGAAGGTGGGGCCGCGGAGCGACAGCCTGGACACCAGCTAATGTGGCTAGCCGGCTAACTTGGACTCTTGAGTGGCCACTGGTGTTCCCGTCACTGACATTGGGGGGGGTTTAAATTAGCAGGTGTGTGCGGTCTGGCACAATACTAAGTCAATTCAGCAAGAAAACACGGTATCATTGATTCCTTCAAAACCCGTGTGGGTGGGATATCTTGAGGAGAGCATCCTCGTTTACCTAAATGACCATGGCGGACGACGACGTGCTGTTCGAGGATGTGTATGAGCTGTGCGAGGTGATTGGCAAGTAAGTATTGACATTACCCACTTCTCTCTCTATTTGCTTGTCTTTTGATTATTTGGGGTGTTTTACAGTATCACCTTTCCTCTTGCCACACACAATACAGTTGCCAGGGCCGTGCTTAATTTAGCTGGGTACTGTTTTTGTGTTTAGGCCCAGGGATTTTACAAGGGGAAAGTTCACTGGGTGGGTTAGGTGAGGTCGCTCTTCAAAGTGCAGTGCCATTTAACTACACATCAGGTTTAATAGCAAGCCCACCATTGCCTAAAATATGAAGAGGCACAAACTGTGCCTTACATCATGACCTCCCTGCAGGAAAGTGAATGTACATGAGTAGGAACTTGTGTCAGACAATATCTTTGATTACAGGTAGAAAAGGTGGAGTAGTACAGGTATTGGTGACCTTCTACTTTGTTTAAATTTACCATTATATTTGAAAAACTCAAATATTCTCCTGTACATCCACACTAATGCCATTTTTTGCAGTTTGTGAAGAAATGTAATGTAATTCAAATGTAAGTCGCATTGGATAAAAGTGTCTCCCAAATGAGTAAATTAATCCTAAAACTTATCTGGCAGACTGGCAGTTTGAAACACAGGACATGTGGGAAAACTCATCTGGCTGCACATCTAGAATGTCTGCAGACAGGATTTTCCTCCTCCTAATCCCCCTGTTTGGCAGTAGCCGAGCAATACCTGGATACAGTTACAGGCAGACTGGCAAACCGGTCAAACACTCACTTTAGGTGTCAGAGGAGGCATAGCTTTATTGATACAACAGCGAGGTGGTTATGTCTTCATATAAACAAGGAGACTGACAGAGGCATATTTAAACCATGAGATGCAAAGGTGCCAGGAAAATGCATGTTACTTCAGTGTGGTCAGAGATGCCTCCTCTGCTCCTGCTGGAAGTGAGGCAGGAAGGCTGACAGCCCCATCACAGTCCAGGACTATCAGTCCACCCCCGCCCTCCTGCAGGCGTCACTCACTGGAGGTCTGAGGGTCCATTAAGTTTGTTCTAGGGGAAAGAGGCACACACTCTCCAGACCCTCAGGCCCTGTCCTTTATCCTGAGATGTCCTGTTGCCTTGGTTACTAATTGAAGGTTGCATTAAGGACCACTACCTTGGAGTCCCAGTAACAGATACAATGAACCACTGGGGAGAGTTGGTGTGGAAACAGTCTAAACCGTCTACAAGTTTGCATGGTTGAATTTGACAATACAGCATAACTAGGGTAGTAAATACAGGTAAGTAGACATATTGAATACACCTGCTGCTGTGCAAGTGTGCTACCCCATTTTAAATTATTACACCAGGCCTGGGCCAAAAAATATTTTTAATTTTTTTGATTGTTTTGTTTTATCCACCATAACTGTGAGGTGAACAGAGTTTGTCATATTAGCTAAGCTGCATTTGATTCCACCTAATGTCTTTTCCCGCTATTATCAACCTACATGGCAATACCTATGTAGCCTGCCTGGAAGACCACATTTATAGAGGTAAATACATCCAGGCTACCTTTTTATCACCAAAATGTAGTAACCATCAGTTTGGTACTTCCAAGTGGCAACCTCTGGGTCTGAAAAGTTCAGCCTGTGTGGAAGTGCCTTAAACATGTATTCTTTGAAATGCCCAGCAGGGGGCAACTACTACACTGTTTGCACAAAAAGTCAGATTGCATTGGAGTCTATGACAAAATGACCCTACTTCTCAATTTAAACTCGGAACAGTAGTTTGGAGCCTATCTTAACCTTTAGTAAAGATGCAGGCTGCCTCATTTATGTCACAGAAAAGACCAGGAAATCCCTCTCATACTGCCTGTTCTTTTGTGGAACCGCAGTTGATTGATAAAGTGTGTCGAGTCCTGGTGTCTTGGGATGTGTTGGGGGGGATTTTTCCTCAGCCGCGAGGTGGGAGGAGAATGGAGGCTGAGGCAGATCAATGGAGACAAGTGGAGTTGGGAATGGGATGGCCCTGAGGCTAAGGATATAAATAATGCCAGCAGACATTGACTGCAGCACTCTGCCATCTTCCACTTTGTTTTTAACGTCATGTTTTACTTTCAGCACTGCTGTAGGTAGTGGACAACATGGCAGGCCGCTGAAACATGGGGATGTTTATTAAAATTTAAGATGGAAATGCTTTCTAGCCACAGGAAACTATCATGAAAACCGTATTTCATGTTATCTTTTCTGGTTAGATGATATTCCTTCTCGTACATTTTAGCCTAAGGGCCCGTGTCCACTAAAGCGTTTTTTAACCAGCTGAAAACGCCACCTGCTCTTCTGAAAATGCCTAGCTAGGAGCGCTAGGGTGCGTTTTGAAGGCGCAGTGTTTTTTTCGGGACGCTGTGGTTGCTATGATACATCATTTCCGTGGAGGCGATGTGTTGCAAGTAGGGTAGCCTACTTAATTTTAGTGAATGTAAAAATGTCACCACAAAGTACGTAGGCCTGCTTGCTCTGCATGAAGAGAAGGCTGAAACATGAGAGCACAGACGTGGGTTTATGAGATTTTGCGGCGAGGACACACAAGGCACATTGTTTCGTTTAAGATCGGATGTGCTCGGTGTGGTGTTTGTCCCGCCCCTCCTGCACTGTGGTTGGACGGCTGGGTAAAAAGTGACAGTGACGAGTGCAGCGTTTCTCCCAAAGTTGAACATTTTTCAACTCTCGGCGACCGGAAAAAAACGCTCAGCGCCCAGCGCAGAAAAGACGCTCAGCGCCTCGTCATGCTCCTGCCGTTTTTACCAGCTTGGAAAAATGCGGCGCTCCCATTGCAATGAATTGAAAATAGACGCTGGAGTAAAAAAAAAAACGCTTTGGTGGACACGGGCCCTAAGTATGTTTTGTAATGGAAGCAAGTCCATAATTTGGACATTCATTGGTAAATGAAGACCTCCTCCAGGCTTTCATTAGTTTGTTTTTTCATGTTCTTTAATATTTTACTGATTACTTCTTCTGAGTGGATTTAGAAATGTCCAATCAACATGAATCTAAAATTTAAAACCCGGCACTGACACAAACGCTGCATCAGCAGTGTCTGACAGGGCACACTAATTGAAAAATACTTTAATTGAGGGTCAGTGAAATGAGCTAGGCAAATCTCTACTAAGTTTGTTGTAAGTTGTCCTTTACCTCCTGCCATATAATTGAAGAGTTGTCATGGTAATTGTCTGACATAATTAGATGATCTTGGTGTTGTTATATACTCTTGTGTGCTTTGCTGACCTTCGACCTAAGCTCCTTTCAAACTTGTACATAAACCCTATTATCCTGTCCCTCCTTCAGTCTTCTATTGTTGCTCAGAGAAGTCGTCTATTATTGTCCTTGATCGGCTTGTGTCGGAGAGGAACAGCCTGGTTGGGTGGGATTGAGAGCATTGGGGACGCCATCACTGTCCAGTAATCAACTCCTCTAAACATGGATTCAAAAGAGCCATGTTTAGGGTGATTTCTACTGAAAGACGGTTAGTAATTTCTTTTGGAGAATGTTTGATGTAACAGACTTTATGTTGACACTTCCCCTTGTCATCTAATTTTCCTGATGTATTCTTGATTAGCTTTTTTAAGGTGTAACCTGTCTCTGTGATGGCATAGAGTTACAAGATAGGAGCATAAATTCAGATTGTGTTTAAGTACCAGCATATGCTCATTGTCCACAGGGATCCTCTTTTAGCACTGCTTTCTTCTTCTCATTATTTTCACCGGAAAGATGTGCTTTTGAGTTCTTGGCAGTGCAGAGAGCTTAGCAAGGTTTCAGAACTGAGAGCCAAAGAATAAAAAGTCAAACATATTTGAACTTTTAGCAAGTCGGACCACTTATTCATCAGGGCTTATAGTTGCATGGCAACAGCAAGAGCTGCATATATGTCTGTGTAGCATAACTGTAAAGAGAAACACTGACAGTCTGATTTTACAGCTCATGCATGTAAATGAGTGTAAATGCACTCTCCTGTGTCTATGCTTGTGGCTATACTAGCCTTATTTCAATATAGGAAGATCAGACGATTAGGTGCCGACGCAGGTGAAAGATGACACGCGTTATTGAACAGGCATAGGCAGTGCAGGCCCTGATCATTACGTGCTCATTGTTTGTACTTTACTTAGTAAATCTTAGCATA